TAGAAAGATGGCTGATTGATCTTCTAAAAGTTCTCATACACTGTGTGTTCAATTCAGTAAGCGTTGTTGTGCGTAAATTGGTCTGGTTATGGAGCCCTTTAGAAGTTAACTACATAAATATAATTTTTTGTTTTACACCCAGCTATTTCTTCTTCTTTTGGTCTTAAGTTTTAAAGCTTTCAGTTTTAAGTTTGATTGAAAATGTCTTGCTTTTAGCATTGCAAGGGCAAGATAAGCCTCTTATGTCTGTGCGTGTCAAAGGCGAGCACGTTCTCGCTGCCGACTCGTCACACGCCGACCTTGGTCGGGACCCCCGTGCGTCAGATTTTAATGTGGAGTTGTGCTTTTACAGGGGTTGCCAGGCTTAAGGGGAGAAAAAGGCGACGTTGGGGAAAGAGGAGAAAAGGTAGATGTAGATATACTGTAACGGCTCATTAATAACTACACAGAAGGCTGATGTCAATGGACAGTGACAGGATGCTTTAGAGCTATAATATCAATAATAACTGACATTATTAAACCACAGTAGCTGACTACAGTACATTTTAATTTGCTAATTTCATTAGCCATTATTATCCTAATGAGCTTCCTTTACAGATACTGTGAACATGTTTTGCTTGGGCTCAATCTTTTGTACAGCAGTTGTGCCTCCTCGACAGATGGACTCAAGAGCCAATTGGATGATAGCGTCCTATAACGGCAGTCCTCCATTGCTTAAAGTGTCATCCCCAGTCCTCTCAAACCAGCTTTTGTTCTCCACTTTTGAGTGATTTGCCATCTCATCAAGTCCAGTGTCATTCTAAGTCATTTAAAGCTGATTTTGATGTATTAGCCCAAACAAGTCCATTGACAACAGGCTCTTAAAATTCATGCTTATTTATTTTCTGTTGTTTCCAAGCATGGACATAAACTTAAAGCATTTCACCTTGAGTTGCTGAGCCTGTTGGTAATCCTTTCCCTGCTTGTGTTTACAGTAGTCTGTAGCTTTCAGTGTTACTCGTGTGTGTCTCTGCACCACTAACAGGCATGATTTGTTCAGTAGATGTCTTTAAGAAACTGTATCCTATATAAAGACGCTTTGCTGCTCCGTGGCGTGTTCTGTGAATCGTCGTGTTTACCGACAATTTCTAACGCACAACAGATTGTAGCGCTGCACCTTTTTAGTGTATTTGTACAGGTAGCGTCTGATAAGAATCTGGCAGAGTGTGGATGATACACAATAATCAAATACTTACACTTTTACTGAGTTATGGGTGGTAGCTATGAGTGCTAATAACTTGCATGAACTCAATTCCACTTCAAAGTTTGGGGTGACTTTAAATTTATATTTTATATGTATTTTTCATTATAAATCATTTATTATGTTTAATGGAATTTCTACACAGGCTCATTTTCAACCACTTCAAACAAATCTATCGTATTACCTGATGAGGGTTCATCTAACTGATAATGTTTGCATAGCTGAAAACTGTTGTGCTGATTAAAGCAACACATGCTGAAGAGAAATAAAGGCTGAAATAGGCTTCATACATGTACTTCTCCTCCAAGTACAGCAGTTCACTGAGGCCTTCCCAACTCTTATTATTCATGTTCAGGTGTTCTGTGAAGGGAGAAGTACACATATGTTAGGAAATCTGCAATTTCCCACCATTAAAAGCCATCACAGGAACACTTTAACTTCTCCATCTTCTTCCAGCTGCTGTCTTTAGTGGCCACCACATGCCTTCATCTTACCTTAAATGAAGCATTCTCATTTGTCACGCTGACCCTCTGCATGACCTCCTTCACATTGACACTCTCTCCAAACCATACATGAAAGCAAGTCTCACTACCATTTTATAAACCCTCCCTTTCAATAATCTCCACCTGCTCCACCCTGCCTGTATTATCTTCTTCACCTCTCTTGTGCATTGTCCATTGCTTTCGATGGTTGACCCCAGGTAGATGTCACCTTGCATCTCCACTCTTACACCTGCTTATTTCTTACACCTACGCGTATTCTGTTTTGCTTTTACTAACTCTCATTCCTCCTCACTCCAGAGCATACTTCCACCACTACAGGCACTCTTTTACCTGCTCTCATTATAGATCACGCTCTCATCTGCAAACATCACATGAACCCTCTTTCAAAGGACAGAAAAAGCTTTTTTTGAGGCTGTTTTTGCTCTTTGCATTAGGTAACACAGTGGGAATGTGAACTGAAACACAGAAGAGATGTCTGTGACATATCTGACTGAAAATTAATTAACTATTCATTTATTATAAATTATTTCATTTATTTCTCATTAAATCTTAAATTAGATGGAAACAATGTGCTTTAAAACACCCAGACATGCACACTTTTACTTTGAAAATCACCCCAAACCTTTAAGTGTTGGTGTACTTTCCCAAACCTGATGTTTCTAACACAGTCGATTTGAGTATGTGAAAATATTTTGTTCTACAGGGATACAGTTTGGACTTTTCAGTGTGTAGTAAAATTTTATTCTGTCTCTCTGGAGGACTTTTTCCCTGCTACACTTTCTCATCCTTTGTGCCCTTGACCTCCCTTTGGCTATGAAGTGTTTTCCAATTTTTCCTACCCACCTCACTACCTCCCTTTTTATGTCTACTTCCTGCCCTAAGGAATGTTTTTAGAGTAGCCGGTATTGTTTGGTATCCCCTCCTACCTAACACTGACCATGTGTCGTTCCTCTCTGTGGGCCATAGCCTCCCTTATTTAATCCCTCCTAATAGCAGTCCTTATTGTTGACAAATGCTTCTTAACTTGACCAAACCATTGTATCCACAGGGGGAGAAGGGAAAGAAGGGCAAAAAAGGGCCTAAGGGCGAGAAAGGAGAACAGGGTGCCCCAGGATTAGATGCACCCTGCCCATTGGTATGTCCCAACTGTGAGCGGTCGCTCCAAACAAGGAAGGAAGGAGCTCCCTTTGGCTGTGCTGAGAACCAGAATACCACCAAAATAACCTAAATATTAAAGCGTATTACTTTCCTAATAATTCAACTGTTCAAATGCAGAACAACAACAACATTGGGTTGGGTTCGCAAGCTCACAGGGCAGCTCCTCCCTCTCCCTCCCCTTGTGTCTGTCGCAGTGGACTGATGCAGGGGGTAAGGGTCGTCCACCTCTCTCTCAGTAACACTCCGAGGTCATTTTTACAAACAGGGTTTCCGGGGATTTAAGGGTGAAAAGGGGGAACCAGGGCAGCCAGGTCTGGATGGGCTGGATGCCCCATGCCAATTGGTACAGTATTTCTCTTCTTCCTAAACCTCCTACCCATGCATGCCGCTCACCTCCAGTCATTACCGAAGCAAAACCATGCATGAATCGAGAGCCTGACGAGCATGAGCACATCTTATTTTCATCACAGTTACATTTTTATCATCATTTTTATCAATTGCTAGAAAAACAACATTCACGTGCACATACGTCACTAACATCCTGACCGCAAGCAGCCTTTTTCTTGTTTTAGGCACACCGTTAGAAACAAAATACACAAAGTAAATAAATCTGTCCCTCTAACTGAATCCTTTCATTCCTCTGAATAAAACTGCAGAAAGCATTATGCTTACTCCCTACGTCCTTCTGATTCCTCGATGAACCAGTTCCCTTTTAACCTGTTGCTAACACAGACTCCTTAACTGATGAGTTACCCGTGGATCCCTCCTTTACTGTGTTAACTCTCCAACCCCTCTCTGCTTTTGTACCAATTGGGCCAGACCGTGACAAGACGAGAAATCATTTATTCTGCTACAAATTCAGACCTACTCAATTCAAGACCTATTCGTAGAAAAATTGTCTTTTTTCTCAAATGTGTTTACAAAGCTTTTGTTTCTGAAACAATGTTGTATGTTGCATGGATATTTTAATACTATGGGTGGTAATTTAAGCACTTAAAAGTATACAAGGAGTTCATTTTAAGATGCCATAGTGCTGTGTGTGTATAGGAATGAACCAGATCGGGTAAGAAAGCATTGAAAATGTCACAAAAATCATCTTTTTACATTACATCTGCATTAATTTACTCAAACCAGCTGCATTCATTTTATTTATTTATTTTTATCACACTTGCTTGATTTTCTTTATAGTGTGCCCACATCATGTTCTAAAATACAGCAGCACATATAATAAGATAAATCCTGAAAGATTTTGCTGTGTATTACATGCATGATTGAATACACTCTCTTGAGGTTGCCGTTGCATGTAATAATTTAGAATATGTTATCATAATAGCCAGTGTTGCATTTAAAAAGAAAGCAAAGAAAAGCGCTGCACAGTTCATGATTCTATTCATTTTTCCAAGCACCAGGGAAGTGCAGTAGTTTCTGTAGTGTTGCTGACTTTGATAACTCGGTTGAAGTTGTGCAACTTGCATTACCGTCTCTAAACTAGTCACAGTTGTGTCAAATTCACCAAAATGATTATACACCACCACAGTAGGTATTACAGTCATTTTTATATTCCCCCCATATTTAGAGGCTCAAAAGTAACTGGACAGCTGTTCGATGGAACTCTCGATCTGAGGTTTTAGACTGATGCAGATGCAGGTGAAGGAAAACTATCAGAGAGAGCAAAAACTTTGGGAGGGCGTGAAGACAGAATTATTTCAAACCACATCAAAAGCACTCTCAAGGAGGCAGATGGATGTGAAAATCTACAACAAAGAGACGCTTTCATTCGTGTAAATACAGAGGGTTGCAATGCAGATTAGACTCTGACAGAAAACATCTTAAATAGCCAGCACAGTCCTGCAGAAAGTCTTTAGATGGATGAAACAAAGATGAACATGTACCAGAATGATTGGAAGAGAAAAGTATGGAGAGGTAAAGAAACAGCTCCTGATCTGAACTATACCACGTTCACTGTCAAACGGAGGTGGCATCGTCATGTACGGCTACCAGTGGAGCGGGTCACTAGTGCTGAGTGATGATGTGACTGAGGATAGTATCTGGATGAATTCTGAGGTATACTTGGCTGTACTCTGAGCTCAGATTCAGCCAAATACTGCAGCTTTACTGATGACGATGCAAATAGATGATGACCCAAAGTATATTATTCATCCTTTTTCAGAAATGGAAATGCAGCATTTGGTTCTGTCCACAGGTTCTAGACTTCAGGCTAGACTTTTGTTTGTTTGTTGTTAGTTTGTCCAGTAACTTTAGAGCCTCTGAAAATGGGGGGCTGTTGAATTAAAGCTGAATTTTTGCTCTTCAGTCGCATATTGGCTACTTCATTTGATTTAAAACCGACTGTAGTGGTGCACAGAGGCAAAACTACACTATCCAGAAACTCATGGACCTAATAGTATATATACACACCACTTAGCTGCATGCAGGTTGCACATCCTTAGGGTGGAAAGAGAGAACAAGTGTAATTACATGGATGACTTGATGAAGTAGGAGAATGGGAGCGTTTCTGTTATTGTGTCACACTTTTAGATTTGTGCTCATTAACTGGATGTTCCAAAAACATCTGGATACCATTTGTAATCTTTACCTCTGGCATAAAGGCCACTTATTTATAACCTTTTGTCATTTATTTGCGGATACATTATCACATCTCAGCGAACCTGTCCGTGCTATTTCAGATCTCATTGTTTTATTTCTGCTGCTCTTCTTTAAACAGGGCCCCGATGGTTTACCAATGCCTGGGTGCTGGCAGAAGGTAAGACAAGAACATAACTGAGTAAAATCTTATTATAAACACTGAAATTATAATTATTATTTTTATTGATTTATCTATTAGTGAGAAATCTTTTTATTTTTTCCCAGTATGATACTAATATTTTGCTCACCCAGTGTTAGTTTGTATTTATTTCATGTGGGTTTCAGCTTCTGTTTGCATGTTGTTTTATGTTTCATTTATTGTGACTCGTTAGTCGTAGCAGTGTATTGCATCTGTGTGAAAACCACAGCGTACGACTCATGAACCGATGTGAAAACACCCATCCTCACGTCGCTCTCTCTGTTGTTGTGCTTTCCTTGCAGTGATCACTCTAACCTGAAACGCATGGAGTTTGTAAATAATGCTTCTTTTACGGTATTTATAGTTTTTTAATGGGAAAACAAGTCTAAAAGAAAAGAAGTCTGTGTGTACAATGCTACAAAAAGAGATAACTGTCCTCCCCCAACCCCACTGTCCGACCCCGCTGCAAGTTTCATGCTCTTGGCTGCTTCTACTCACATTGCCGTGTGGAAAAAAAACAACAACAAAAAAAACAAAAACCACGTGCGTCCGCTCTTTCACATCCACGCCGTGGTGGAGCTCAGATCCTCGGCTGGTGGCAGAACTTGTCTCTTTAGTCTTTGCATGGCTCAGACTGGAGCGTCGCAGCCCGGCCAGATTCACGGGGGGTGGTGAAAGGAGGCGTGGGAGGAGGAGGAAGTGGATGAGGTGGGATCTGGACTGGCTCCCTAACACCAAAACGCTAGGTGTTTCTGTGTTGCTTCGTCTCAACAACCTCACCACACTTTCATGCAGCACCATTCACTCAAAGACTAAAAGAAAAAAAAAAAGGACTGTACCAAGCAGAACATTGCACCCCTGCCCTCCCCACTCCTGAAAAAGCATGAGTAGTGTACTGAAACTATATTTATATGTATTGTACATACATGTCACTGTTTTGTGGTTGCGTCATGGCTTCTGCAGAAAAAACAACACTAACAAAAAAAAAGAAAAGCCTCTAGAGTTCTGAATAAGTAATTTTTTTTTGCTTTCCTTTAATCTTCCCAAGGGAGTCACGCCATGGCTGGTAGCCTGAATGTCCCCCCAGAAAGTAAAGCTGTTGGTTATTGTTGCTTTATTGTGGTGATGCCTGCAGAGGGTATCAGCAGGTTTATCACTGTTGCACTCATGAGGCTCACTCATTGTCAGTGCGGTGCCTCCAAACAGGTCTCTGGACAAGAGGGGAGGGGTATGGGGTGGGTGGGTATTGGGGGAGGTAAACTTGGCAAGCTCGCAGCACTGACAGGGAAACGAATCAGCCTCACACGGATTTGAGTTTGGACGGGCGTGCTCGGGAACCGTCTCCCAGCACGGGAACGGACTCTGCAGGAGAGCCTCCAGGAGTCTCGCGGATCTTACGCCAAGATCAGCAGGAGCGTCTCCCTCTCCTAACGGGCAAACGCGTGGTTTACCGAGAGCGTTGACAGAACGCGATTGATCACGTTTGTTTCTTTACTATTTTTTATCTCTTTCGTTTGTTGGTTTTTCACTCCCCCTCTCTCATTTTTACACATGGTTTGTATTTTATGTATAATAGCCTTTGGTGCCTCAAGCTTTTATTCATTCCTTTATCAGAAATGTACAACTTTGTATCACATTTTGAATAATTACGATGAAGTTTGTTTTCTATTTTCTTTTGTTTTTTTTGTTTTCCAGAAGGGAAAGCGTTGTAAGCTGTGGGAGGATTGAAAAGCCGCACTGTTTTTCATGTATATGTTTTTACAGGATGTTGAAACCGCATGTAGCTTCGAGCTTCACCTGAGCATACATTGAGATTGCATTCATCTTAGTTGTACAGCCACTGATCGGACTCACGGTTTTAAAGAAGCTCAGTATTTGTACAAAGCACATCCGAGCATAGTCTGCAGATATGCTACTTTCTCATTCTGGACTTGTACGGGATATTATTTGTACAGTGTTGTCAGTTTGCTGCATGTTCACAGTTTATTACATACGGATTTCTTAAATACTGAAAACAGGCATCAGTTTGAGGAAGTGCAGAGCTTTGTTTAGTGGTCTTCAGTGAGATTTAGCCGAACACACACAGTCCCTGGTATTTCAGATGAAGGCAGATTGTGTTGAATCTAGCCCGCCACACCGCTCTCTTCCACCTCACATTGTCTTAAATATGTTGAAAAAAGTGTTACAATGCAAGAAAAGCTAAATTTGGCATTTACCGCAAACTGGTCTCCTTCCATTAGTTCACCGCAGTCTAACTGGTGGCCGGTTAACATCACATTCCTCATCAGATGGAGCAAATCAAAAAAAGTGAATGGAGCAGTAGGTTTATTTTTCACCATGGCTTATACATCCTTTCACGTTCCCTATCTTTATCTTGCCTTTTGACATAGTAGGTGCTGTGTAGGGTTTTCTTCAACATTAGAATCGTTTGCTGTAAGAGCCGATGGGAAACAAAGTAAAACAAACCTGTTGTGAAGCAGCAGCAGCCGCCAGTGGATCCGAAAGGATTTCCACCCACGTGGTTTCTGTGTGACGTACAGCTCATCTCACCATTTTAAAAGAATGGATGCACATCAGTGTAGGTTCTTACGGTGCTACCTGATAAGCAGGTCAACAGCAGTTGATGCGCTCTAACAGTGGCGAGAACTACACGAGCAGTTTCTTTATTGTTGTTGGAGTTTTATGTGTGTAACAATTTCAAGGTTTTTTTTTTTGTGCCTATATTTGTGTATTTTTGTCTCAGTATTTTAAGTGGTACATTATTTATTTTTCTATGATTTCTTAAATGAAGGCATTTTGGTTCTGAACAGCATTCCTTCCTGACGTGGGTTTCCGCCGTTCATACGAAGAGTTTCGGGTCACGCTAAGGCATCGCGAAGCTGCGAAGGAGCTCTGTAGTGGGGCGTCACAGATCGGTGTGTAGTCACTGTGCATTTACTTCAACTTATAGGCCTTACCATGACATACATCCGCTTTTATTAATTTTGTGTGTCAGAAAAAGCTAGTACTGAAGGCCTGAATGTTGACGGGCACAGCCAATGCAACAGTACACAGCTGAACATGACCGCCTTTTTTCTCTCTCACGCTTTCTCTTTGCATTGAATGTAGTTTGATATATGTATAGTGGATTATTAATGTACTGTGTGTGCTCATTTGGCATAAAGTGCAATTTATACTTTAGTTAATGTGTGTAACGTCAAATGCAGCTGAATTATCGCATTAAAGTGATTTCTGTAGCTACATTTGTTCGGTCATGCTACCCTTTATACCACTACCTGGGGACATTTAAAAAAAAAAACAAAAAAAAACTTTATTCACCAGAAGACAATGAAACATATGTAAACATATGTAAAAACCCTCAAATTAGATCATATTTTTTTGCTTAAAGTTGCCCCTTCACTTATATTTTTAAAGTGTTACTTCCACTGTGTCGTATTTACTATGTTTTTATTCTCTGTTTTAATTTCCAACCTTTGTTACAGTATTTGTTCTCACAAGGTGCTGTATTCTTAGCATGTGCAGCTAATTTTTTTAAATAGACTTTTTTATTTGATTGATTTTGTTTGAGTTTTGTGTTTATTTGTTGAAGTTAAAGGTTTTTTTCCCCTGCTATCAGCAGAAGTGCCAAACAGGTTATTCCCGTATGGGTGTTCACAGACCTGGCGACAAGTTTTAAGAATCTGTATTCTTGTGTTGTCGCAGAAATGCCTCATGTCAGTCATTACAACATGAGTGAGTAGGAGGAGGAGAATGGGGAAGCAGCCACAGTGCTCTTCCTCCTTGATGTTGTGAAAGACGCTGGTTTCTCATGAGGACGTGTTGATGCTCCAATGCACAGCAGCCTTGCTGACGTAATTCTGTTGCCACATAAATGCAGACTGTAGCAAAAGTTTTAAGAAAACTTCATTCTGTGACTTATTGGAGTTACGATTATAATTTTGGGGGGGTTGTGGTAAATGTTCAGTTTCTGCTCTGCATTGGTATTTCTTGTGTTTTTTGCCCACTTGGTTGACATTTCTTTGAAGAGCCTTGTGTTCACTCACTATATTTCAAGTTGACATTACATATGACTGTACTGTTGGAGCCAAATAAACACAGTCTTTCAAATACACTAAATGGCGGCCTTTTCCTTTATTTGTTGTTTTCAGTTACCTGTTAAACATTTTCATCCTTTTTTTCTTTACTGCTTGACCAGTTCAGGGTTGCAGGGGGCTGTAGGTTATCCCATATATATCCACATATGTCTTGTACTATGTATATAGTCATATAGTATAAGACATGGTGTAGATCCCGGACATGTTGTCAATCTATCACATGATTAATACAGAGTGACAGTCATTCAAATTTACATCCACGGCCACTTTAGAATCACCTATTAACCTAACATGCATGTCTATGTCAGTAGCTATTCTACCTTCGCAACGACAAACTACAAGATATATTAAGTAGACATGGTCAAGATGACCTGCTAAGGTTGAAATGAAAAGGAAAGAAAGGTGGTTTTTAAGTGGCATGGTTGTTGGTACAAGAAAGGCTGTCTAGGTATTTGAGAGACTGCTGATCTTCTGGGATTTCCCACGCAACCATCACTAGGGTTTACAGAAAATGGTCCAGATATCAGTGGTGGAAGTTCTCTGGGTGAAAATGACTCGTTGATGCCAGACGTCAGAGGAGAACAACAGGCAACAGTAACTCAAATAATCAGTGGTTACAACTAATGTTTGCAGAAGAGCATCTCTGAATGCACAACCTGTCAAATCTTGAAGCAGATGGGGTGCAGCGGCAGAAGACCACATCTTGTGTAAGTCCTTTTAGCTACAAAAAGGAAACTGAGGCTACAATTCATACAAGCTCACCAATATTGAACAACAGAACACTGGAAAAACATCACCTGGTCAGATGAGTTTTGATTTCTTTGATGACATTGGGATAGTTGGGCCTGAATTTGGCGTAAACAACATGAACCATGGATCCACATAGAGCAACTGCATAAAAGTTTAATTGAAGTGGATGAACATTAAGGTTACATGCGTGGTCATTTTGCAGTCTTGTTCCAAGCAAATAAACAATTTACTGGTGTCCTACCTGACTATGTTACAAACAAGCTGAACAGTGCTGACTGCTATATTGTGCATGTCCGAATTTACAACATTATCATTTAGTTCCCTGAGTAAGTTTATACAGGTACACATGCACAAGATGTTTTTAACCAGTGATTTATTCAATGATTCAGTTGTTTAAATAAATTAAACATTTGACTCATTCTCATACTGAAACTGAAACATCTATACCTGACACCTTACCTCTAGTGCATTTTAAAAAATTAGTTTGTCCATATTATTTTATGTATGCACATTCAGAATTGTCCATGAGTATTTTTTTATCCATGTATTTGAAGGTATTATTTCTCAATTCAAAATAAGTAAAAACAGGTGTGTTGTTTTCACCCTGGTCTTTGCAGAACCTGTTCACTCTGAGCTGGCGGCTGTCAAAACGGTATGTTGTTTACAGATTGTGTGTGTGTGTGTGTGTGTGTTTTTAATGCTTGAAACTTTTACCCGTGAAAGTGTAGGCTAGCTTGCGAAGTTTGAGCATTTTTGACCACTTACAGTTTCCATACAGCTTTGCAGCGCGAGCGCCGCGCCAGCTGCGGTACAGTAGTGCACTTGCGCGCGCGCGTGTATAAAGCGGGGCTCTGTCGGCTCGAGCAGATGTTCGTCGAGCTTCGTCCAGCTGGACTACATCAAGATGTCCGCTGAGAGATTTGAGAAAAAGGAGACGATAGACCTGAGGAAAAGATATATTGGGTGAGATAATTGCTCTCATTTTACAAAAGCAGGATTCCAAATTAATGTGACAGTCGTCAAAAAGTGTAAGATACTAGAAAAAAAATTAAAAAGTTTAATTTCGAGAATATCTGTGACATTTTATATTTTTGTATATATTTGTGGGTGTTTAAATGTATCCTACTATTTGACTTTTAATATGTATATTACATACATTAATATAATACAATATACAATAACTGGAATGAGTAGTAGTTCCTTTGTGTGTCTCTTAGGAATTTCACTGTTGTGTCCATGACTCATAATCTTTTTATCACAACTTTACAACATGAAAACCTACAGCTGACCCAGCACGCTTTCTTCACATGTCACTATTCTGATTTTTTCTCTGCTGCAGGCCATCTTGTAAGATTTTTTTCAGCCATGACCCAATCAAGATTGTGCGTGCCAAAGGCCAGTATATGTATGATGAGAAAGGACAGCGCTACCTGGACTGCATCAACAATGTGGCTCATGGTAAACACACACGCACTGGTATATATACACAAAGTACACTGAAAGAAAGCAGCCAGCGCTGAAGTACCACTTTTTTATCCCTGTGATGATTTCACACCAAAACAGCAAAACAAGAAGTTTATTATTACATATAGACCTATAACCAGGAACTCTAATTCATTCTTCCTTTTCTCAGCGGGCCACTGTCATCCTGATGTGGTGAAGGCAGGAGCTCAGCAAATGGAACTACTCAACACTAACTCGCGCTTCTTGCACGACAACCTTGTCCTGTATGCCCAGAGGCTGCAGGCCACGCTGCCAGACAAGCTGGCTGTTTGCTACTTTGTCAACTCCGGGTACGTTTACATGCTTTCACTAAACAACAAAAGGCAGCATGATGGAAGATAAACCAGGTGTGTTTTTTTACTTGGGTGTGGATCACTGTGGGGAGGATAGAGGAGGCAGATGATGGGAGACCTCAATTTACTTTGATGATTATGCCTGGTGTGAACATGAGCCATAAAAGTCCTGCTGTGTGCTCAAATTACAGAGAAGCTCAAAACTCTGTAAAAAAGGCTGCAGTGCAATCATACAGTCCTGTCAGCATTCAAGGAATATAGAAGCCTGTATGAGTGGAGGAATACCCCAAATGCTGAGGATCAGATTGCACGGTTTCATAACCTGCTGTTTGTCTAGATTTCTGATATGTACACTACATTAAGCAGACTATTGTCTGAAAGTCGAGAAAATAAAAAGGTTCCGGGTGCCCTATTTACACCCTTTGCCCCAGTTCAGGAGAAGAATTATCTGCTCCGGGGCAATAACATTGTAGATAGTAATCCATATACCCTCAGACAGTATTTATTGCTACGATGGGGATATAAGCTTACCTGATATAAATCTGACATAACACAGGCATTATTAAGGTGTGTGCAGTAGTACAAAAGTACACCTGTGTCCACTGAAGACATTTATGGTTCGTCTTCCTTAGTATAGGAGTGGAGAGCTCTTTAACCCTCTCAAGGCAGGCGTTGCAGATTTGCAACAGTTAAAAACTAACATGATTACCCCACATACATATTTTATCAGTTTTTTTTACTCAGAAGTACCACTGCAGGACTTGGTTGTGCATCAGCAACAAAAAGTTTAATTTGAGCCTGAGAGGGTTAAACCAGAGGCACCAAGCCTTTAAAATAACAGACAAATGGGGCAAAGACCCTTGAATTAGTAAAAATGTCTTCATGTGATTTCATAGAGAGGTAAGCAAGCCCCACTAAGTTTTTACAATTAGCCTTGCATGGCCTCACGGTGGGAACTGAAACAGCAAACTCCCTCTGACGTTCAAGTGATATCAGTGGTTTCACCTGTGTATTTTGTGGTGACTGAGTAACTCAAAGTAACCCTTGCCTGTTTGAACTTCAGCTCCGAAGCCAACGACCTGGCTCTCCGACTAGCACGGCAATACACAGGCCACAGAGATATCATCACTTTGGAAAAGTAAGTGCTGCCATCAACCAGTCATTCTACAGAAAAAAACCTGGCGAATGAAAACAACAGTGATAATGAGCTGGTAAAAGTCTTACTAGTTAGTGGTTTGTAGCGCCGTGTGGTGAAAGGAGCTGGGTCTTCATGTGTCAGTGTTTTAATAGAATTTGCTGCTTTGGCCCACAGTTTTCTTTGTTTGCAGTGCGTACCATGGCCACGTCTCATCGCTCATTGACATCAGTCCATATAAGTTCCACCAGCTGTCAGATACTGAGCAGAATCAATTTGTCCATGTGGTGAGTGTTTTTTCTCTCCCAGGCTGCCTGCGTGCACACTATTAAAACACCATAACTCAACTTGCTCCGCTGGGCTTTGGCAGCCTACTGAGTGTGCACCATGCATGTGTGTGTATATGTGTAGATAAAAGAGACACATGAGACAGAGAAATAGAATGAAAGGGGTCTTTTTCTGCAGATTCAACAAGGTGTAATGTAAGTGGCTCTGAAAGAGAGCAGCTTGCTGTCAGAGGCATATGTTGAGGAACACAGACAGTGAGAAGAATGGCAAACAAAAAAAGGAGATTATTAACCAAAAATCCTACAATGGTACTCAGGAGAAAGACTAAAATCCCCACAAAGAGGTAATTTTATCTCTGGACTGTTAGATTATTGTGGTCTTTTCCTTTTTTGAGGGTCTTTTGGAGTTTCTGTTTGGAAAATTAAAGCTCAAAAAAGTTTTTTTTTTCTTTTACAACAAGACATCCAGTGCACTGTGACCTAAAATCGTGAAAGAATTTACCGTTTCTGAAACTAGAATTTGTTTCAAGAATTTCGGTTAAAAAAATAAATACATTAAACATAGTAAATAATACAAAATTATTTATCCCTAAAGTTCTCATTAAATGATGAAAAAGACATTACACCTAAATTACCACAATGAATTTAAGGGCTGTACTGTGTGCTGCTGTGGTGCATTCTGGGAATTGTGGAATGGGGTTTCCCTCATATTTCAGCTAAAACTCCAGATGAAAAAGAAGGAAAGGAACAAATCGCTTGGTTTAGTAGGAAATGAGTTCTCCAGCGATCTGAATAACACTGATCTCCATGTGCAGCTGACAGAGGCAATGTATAAAATGCAACACAGAAAAATAAAATACATTCATATATAGATATAGACAGTATTCCTTCACTCACATAAAGAGCTGCTTAACCAAAATTGTTGCACTTTCGAATAATTGATTTTATTTTATTAGGAAAATTATTACATAAGTTTGTGTTACAGCAAACAGTGAATGTTCACTCTTTTGTTAATTAGCAGTAATCCACTTTTATCTAAACTTTTTTTAATATAATACGTAATTCAGCCACATGTTAGGTTTACTTAAAACCCATTAAGAATCCATTTTGATTTGTGAATACCTTTGTAATATTTAACCATTTCTTGTCTCCTGCAGGCTTCCAGTCCAGATGTGTACAGAGGGAAACACAGAGCAGACCACCCTGATCCCGCCACCGCGTATGCAGATGAAGTCAAAGATATAATAAACAAAGCTCACAAGAAAGGAGGCAAGGTACAGTTAATGAGAAGAAGCTAGCAATCCCAGGAAAAGCGTGAAAGCTGTGCATTGTTATAGAGCCAGTATTCAAATGATATAGTGTGATTACAGGACCATGACACTAAGCAAGGACACAGCAGATGACTAAGAATGATTCTCAGCAGACTGTTAAGAGTTGTTCATTTTAGTGCGCATGGACCTCCTGTAACTACCTCCTCTCTCTTGTTTTGAACAGCCAACTGTAAAGGGAAGAGCTCAGGGTCAAAGATGACAGGATACCTCCACTTGTTTTCTGTTTATCCGTCTGGCTTTATCTGGATATGTTTGTTCTCTTGTGCAGATTGCTGCTTTTATTGCTGAGTCACTGCAGAGCTGTGGTGGGCAGGTCATTCCCCCTGTGGGTTACTTCCAGCAAGTGGCACAGTATGTATCCAA